CCTATCTAAGAGCATAAGCTATGTATGTTTCTAAATATAAACTTAATCTAAACAACGTTCATATTAAAATAAATACATAACAACAAATTCGATATATAACCAACTGCAGGACCTAATAGATCATTCACCGAAAAAAAGTGCCCCCAGTGGCACAGCGGTATGTCTGCTGACTTACAATGCTAGAATCCGGGTTTCGATACCCGTGGTGGGCAGAGCACAGATAGCCCATTGTGTAGCTTTGTGCTTAATTACAAACAAACAAACACCGAAAAAGGACATCCTCGAGACTGGAATACAAAAGTTGGTGAGGATGTCGAGGCATCTGTGGACGGTTCTGCAATACTGAATCAAAGAAAACAGGATTCAGGCTCCTGGACTTTGCCACACATAAAAACCTTGTGTTGGCTAATACTATAAAAACCTTGTGTTGGCTAATATTATAACAACTTTGTGTTGGCTAATACTATAAAACCTTGTGTTGGCTAATACTATAAAAACCTTGTGTTGGCTAATATTATAACAACTTTGTGTTGGCTAATACTATAAAACCTTGTGTTGGCTAATATTATAACAACCTTGTGTTTTTGTTATAATATTAGCCAACACAAGGTTTTTATAGTATTAGCCAACCTTGTGTTGGCTAATATTATAACAACCTTGTGTTGGCTAATACTTTTGGTCTTCATAAATCATACAGAAGATGGACCTGGCACAGTCCAGTTGGACAACATCACACTCAGATTGACTACATCGTGGTGAAAAAGCGCTTTTCACCATTACCACAATTCGAAGTTTTCCTGGAGCAGACATCGGAAGTGATAATAACTTGTTGATGATGACTTCTCATCTTCGCCTGAAGAAAATCAGCAAACCAAAGCACACAAGAATCAAGTTTGACCTTGAGAAACTGATGGACCCTGATGTGACAGAAGCCTTCTAAGCAATGATTGTTGAAAAATTTGCACCTCTTACTATCCTGTGGAACGAAAACACAGACCTAAATTCGATGATCACCACCTTCAACACAATAGTGACTGACATAGCCTTGGCAAGCACCGTTGGACTAAAAAACCCTGGGTCACACCAGATACTCTGGACCTACGTGACAAAGGAAGAGAACTGAAAAAGAGAAACGGCAATCCTGAAGGAATGCAAAAATACAGAGAAGTCAACAACAAAATTAAAAACGGGCATGAAGATAGCAAAGGAGAAGTGGTTAGAAGAACAGTGCAATGAAATTGAAGAAAACTTGAACAAGAACAACAGTAAAAAAGCATACCAACTTGTAAAAGACCTAACAACCGTAAAACAATGGTGAGCTACTACCATCCAAGACAAATCAGGAAAATGCCTCATAGAAGAACAAGAGATAATCGACAAGTGGACATAATATTGCTCACAACTATACAACCACAAGACGAATGAAGACTCAATAGTACTACATTGCCCTCATAGAACTGAAGAGGACAACTGTCCCATACTTTAGGAAGAAGTAGAAAATGCAGTAAGATCACTCAAGAAAGGGAAGTCAGTTGGAGTTGACAACATATCAGCAAAACTGGTTCAGGCTGAGGGAGAAGCCAGGATCACCGCCCTCACAACAATCTGCAATAACATCTGGTAGACAGGAGAATGGCCCATCCCTTGGACCTAGTTTATGGTCATCATGCTTCCCAAGGAAGGCAACCTACAGTTGTGCCAAAACTACCGAACAATCAGCTTCATCAGTTACCCGAATAAAGTCATGTTAAAGATCATATTAAAAAGTCCCAAGCAGAAAAGATCATTGCTGAAGAACAGGCGTGGTTTTAACCAGTACGAAGCAACACAGATCAGAACTTCTATCTCAGGATCCTTTGTGAGAAACATCAAAAAGACCTTTATCAGGTCTTCATAGACTTGAAGAAGGCCTTTGACAGGGTATGGCATGCAAACTTATGGGCAACCATAAGAAAGTACAACATCATCACCAATCTTGTTCGAGTCATTGAAAACCTTTATGACAAGGCCATGAGTGCAGTCCTCATAAGTGGCAGTTTAGGGGACTGGTTTCAAACAACGGTTGGAGTTCTACATGGATGCCTACTCTCACCCAACCTCTTTAACATCTTTTTCGAAAGGATTATGACTGTTATCAAACAAGTACTATCAGTATTGGAGGCAAACCAATCACCAACCTTCGCTTTGCAGACGACATTGATGGCTTAGCAGGAGAAGACCAAGGTGGAAGGACCTGACAAAACAGCTATAGCTTACTACATGGAGATCAATGCCAAGAAGACTAAACTGATGATAAGCAACACCAATGGCATCAGCATTGAGATCAATGTACGCAGACAAAGACTTGAAACAGTAAATGGTTTCAAATACCTGGGATAAGTTGTCACAGATGAGGGCTGCAAACCTGAGATACTTTTCAGGATTGCACAGACAACAACATCACTCTTAATTCCAAATTTAGATGCTCTCCCTTGTCATATCCATATTTCTGTATGCTTGTGAAACATGGACCCTCACAGCAGATCTAGAAAGAATAATACAGGTTATGAAAATTAGTTGATACAGAAAGATCTTGCGCATTTCATATAAAGACCGTTTTACAAATGAAGAGGTCTGCAACAAGATCCAACAAGCTACTGGACCATACGAAGATCTCTTGACCGCTGTCCAAAAACGCAAACTGAAATGGTATGGTCACGTCTCACGGTCATCTGGCTTGGCAAAGACTATCTTGCAAGGCATCCTGAGAGGGAAAAGAAGAAGAGGTGGGAAGACAACATCAAAGAGTTGACAGGCCTGGAGTTCGTCATCTCCGAGAGGGCGGTAGAAAACCGGGAAAAATGGAGAGAGCTGGTTGGAAGGTCGTCAGTGGTGCCCCAACGACTCCGAGGGTTATGGTTGGAAGGTCGTCAGTGATGCCCCAACGACTCCGAGGGTTATGGTTGGAAGGTCGTCAGTGATGCCCCAACGACTCCGAGGGTTATGGTTGGAAGGTCGTCAGTGATGCCCCAACGACTCCGAGGGTTATGGTTGGAAGGTCGTCAGTGATGCCCCAACGACTCCGAGGGTTAAGGGACAAAGTGAAATGAAGTGACCCTAGAGATAACTACTCATAGCTGCCGCTAATTTTCAAATGCTTGAGCAAACATTTTCGTGGCGTAACCGTTTACCAAGAGTTCTAGAAATATCTTCTTCCCCGCTATCGTACATTAACAGAACTTTGTGTAACAATAACGACAATAATGCTTTAATTAGTAAAATCGATACAAAAACATATTAAAGTTGCATTATACCGGCTGAACGAATTGGTACTAGAACTGTGACATAACAATTTCAAAGTGAATCGTAGTCTCACTCTTAGTTCTGTTTCCACATCTTTCAGTCGTTCACGGTCTTTTGTGTTTCCCTAGTAAGAAAAATTCAGATTCGCAAAGGTATCAAAATATGATTTTATATAAATAATTCTTATGATTTTATTTATTTTACTCTTATTAGGGACAGAAAATAAAATATTTTCTGGAATGCTTACGATCCCAATTTAAAACTTCATTGATTCGATGAGGCCGTGACCTAGATTTTGGGAAGTCCTAGACTAGCGGGAATACAGTTAATTAATAGCACCCATCGCCAAATCTTAGGCTATATTTGTCTGATATAATAATAGATTTGACCATCACTCTTATATTGCAGTCAGGAAGCTTTCCACATACTTCTGTGATTACAAACTGAATAAGAATAATACTAGGTTATTTCAGTTATTTAAATATTTCTTAAATGTCATACGCATTTACGTGCAGAGATAACAGATATTTTCCCGTCGTCCTCCTCTTCAAAATTCTCTGTATTCATGTCGTCACATTTCACAACGAATGAAATTCCATTATTTATCTTCCTACCTCGTTGCTCATGGTTCTTTCCAAAGAACGGTGGTTTCCGTTACTATAGTAACGCCAGCTATACGATAGCGCAAATGGATGAGGATCGTTCAGATGTACACGAATATCCAATTGATTATATGTCCTGTTATTTTATTCTTTTAATCTAAAACTGAGATGTTCAGGCACATGACCTAAAAATGGGGCTTTAGACATCCCTGTGGTTTACAGTTAAATTTCTGATTAAATATCCAATGAAGAGGTTAAAATGTGATTAAACAGAGATTAACACAGTCTTACAAGATAGAACCGGTGAGCTCAACAGTTAGTTTCCCACAGCATACGTATATAAAGTGTATTAATACTCACTTGGAAACCACTGCGCGTAGTAGATTTTAAATATACTCGGACAAAACATAATAAAGGATAAACTGGCACGCCTATATTTATTATTTTTATAGTTACATTTTATGCAATGTTTCATGTAGACACCTTTCGCCAGGCAGTAAGACTGCGTTCAATTAAAATTAGGCTTATATCTTATATATATATTTATATATATATTGTGATTTTAAAATACGTATAGATATCCTAAATATATATTGTGGTATATTGTTTAAAAAATATATTAGTTAACATCGTAAATATATAAATAAATTTCAGAGCAGCTAAACTATATTTAATCATTGGTATCAAACCGTCTGATTATGAAGTTAGGAAACACTCTATAAGACATAATATTTAGACGTACCTGTTTACGAATATTTAGACGTACCTGTTTACGAATATTTAGACGCACCTGTTTACGAATATTTAGACGCACCTGTTTACGAATATTTTGAGTATCAATCATTCTTATTTATCATGATTTTACCAATATTTTATGTAACGTACAAATCTCAACAAAAACTGAGTTTGATCTTCGTACTTCTCATCACAGAGAGAGTCTGTAACCATGGAAACTAAACAACAGGTGACGCGATCACGCCCACAGAAGTCTTTATCGTCGTTACGCCTCTCACTTGTCACACATACCATGCGTGTAATACAATAATGTCTGTAAGCAGTCTATAATATTCGAATTTAAGAATACTTGGACGTATATATATATATATAGCGTTTCAGGTTACGATATTATACAAAACATGACTGTTTTTATTTATTTTGTGGTTTTATGCTTGTTTTTTCACTCGTTTGTCAAATCTTATAGATGAAGATTTACATACATATTTCTATATATAAATATATATATATACAATTATTGTTTTTACCCCTAGTGTTTTTAACCTCTCACTTTTTCCACTGTTTTCCAAGTTTTTTATGAGCCTTGCTGAGAAACTTTATTTTTACTTCACCTCATTGCGGTGCATGACGTTTATTGTTAAGCTACTGAGTGAAACCTCTTTTAACACTGTTTCCACATCTGAAGACCGATAACCTCCTTGTAATGATTTTGTTCTTGAGTTAAAACCGTAATCATTAACATTTCCACCATAAAGGTCAAAACGCTAACGCAACATTCACCGAGTTCGTATTGTCCAAAATTGTTTAAATAATATTACCGTTATCTTCCTTCGCTATCACAATTATCGGATTTTAATCCTGCACAGCATCATTGTAATACAATCCAACTTTTCATTCGTCATAACAATTCTTTACTAATATCTGTGAACCATAGGTTCTTCATGTAATCTAAGCAACCATCAGCTGGCATCTTGTGGAGCCGATGCCTAGCTGGGTTTGTTTTGTTTGTTTGTTGAATTTCGCGCAAAGTTACACAAGGGATATCTACGCTACCGTCCCTAATTTAGCAGTGGAAGACTAGAGGGAAGGCAGCTAGTCATCACCAACCACCGCCAACTCTTGGGTTACTCTTTTACCAACGAATAGTGGGATTGACCGTCACATTATAACGCCTCCATGGCTAAAAGGGCGTGATGTTCCACGTGATGTTCTTTTAAAAGAATTTCTTCTGTATTTAGGTTAAACACGGTTTTTGAAGTTTGCATAACTATGCAGAATGTTTGAGTTTGAACGAGTGAAGAGTTTAACAGAAGAAGACAATTAGGATACGTAATATAACCAATGTTAAGTAAAACTAATATATTGTAGAATGACACACTAGCACCTTATCCGTTTTCTTTGATCTATTGGAGTAATAAACTCAAGATTCTGAAATAACTGAAGTGAAATGGATCAAATCGCCATGATCGGTGTTTCAATCGAAATTCCGGTTCCTTTACAGCCAAATACCTTTAATCACTTCCCTGTAGTTTCAGATGTTATCATGTTGTAGCTGTATATATGGGAAGTAGTTAGGTACAACAAAATTATTCTTTTTTAAACAGCTGATCAGTGAAATCTGTAACTGATGTCAGGATTCGAACAACAATTGTAACCAGTGGATGTATAGAAGATGTGCAAGTGGCAAGAAGTACGGTGTTTGCACTAATGCATACATTAGGTGGCTTTTAAGTTGTAATTATTTATCATGTGCACAATTATCACTTCATTGAACATTGCGTTTTCACCTAAACAGAAAAATAATGAAAAAGCCAGAATATTTATGTAATATTCATTAATCGTAACTCCAGTTAAGGTAAACGAACGAGCGGAAACAACTAATTTACTTAATCATTCCTCCCTCCCGAACGATGAATAAGCTATCTGTTGTAATACCAATGTCATTAACTTAGCGTCATTTCTGTATTACAACAGTAAGTGATAACGATCAAATGTTATCCCAGAACTCAAGTTTCTGTCTCACGATGCTTCACCGTTGACACTATGAATGACACTAATAACACTGTAATGAACAGCCGAGGTAGAAAAAAATATATAATGCTAATTAAATATAATGTGTAATTTGACACGTAGGATAAGCTAAAACCTCATTAAAAGCAACAAAACTTTGGTCTCAATTTCGAATCTATTATGTTATTTATCACTTTAATAGAAGTATTTTAACAATAAAATTTTATGGAATATTCCTTAAACGATGCCATAGTTACACCTTCAATCTACAATAGTTCATTTAAGCTTTTGAATAAATGTAATATTTTCATATAAATTCATTTGGAATACGATTGCATTTTCTCAGTTCCTCTTTTTCTATATCTTTTTCACTTAATCCTGACCGAGAATTACCGTTCCAAACCAGAATTAATATTTGATATTTGCACATAAATTTCAACTCTTAACTTGTTCCATTTTTGAGCTAATATACTCTACGTAGCCATCTGGAGAAAAGTTTTAATATTTCGGCGAATGTGGTTGAAAGTTAAGTGCACATTGGTCTTTCTTATAAAAACTGTTTTCAACTGTAGATTTCTGATTTGTAAATCTATATTTAAAATCTTTCTTTCTTTCTTTTTTACAAAGCATTTTAGATAACGAGTTCATACTTTATCAGTACAGTGTGTGTTTGTAATTAAGCACAAAGCTACACAATGGGCTATCTGTGCTCTAACTACCACGGGTATCGAAACCCGGATTCTAGCGTTGTAAATCCACAGATATGCTGCTGTGCCACTGGGGGCTATCGGTACAGAGTTTCAGTTTTGAGATTTAGAACTAGAATTACGTTCACCTCTTAATATTCAGTAATTATCTTTGCATTGAAGCAGCAATAGTTGGCTATACCTTGTTTTTTGTTTAGTTGTGTTTTTACTATAATATCGAATATGAATTCTTTTGAAATACTATACGTACTGAAAACGTATTAAATTTAATTCGTGTGAATCAGTTTTTCATATTTAATATAATGATACATTTTTAATCTCACCATTTTCAATTGTTCTGAACATATTATTCATGTCTTTTAAAGTAGGTATTTGACTAACGATTGATTGAATATGGTATACTCGTTTAATAAGCTTCTTGCAAGATTGCGTTAAAATGATTCATGAAAACTGAAATAAATCGTTAAGATTATTTATGCAAAATATAATGTATATTGTTTTCATTTTAATTATTGTGCAAAAAACATTAGTAGTTAATTGATTAATGTGTTGCTTACATCGTTGATTGAACTTAAAGGTTTTTTGATTGTAATGATATTTTGTCTTTATATAGCTTTTATTTTCTCTTATATCTCAGGCCAGACTTAGTCTATGGTAAGCATGCCGAGTTGTAGATCAAAAGGTCCAAGGTTCGTGTCGTAATGTCACTGAACGCGTTGTGGCCTCATTAGAAAGTGACGTCCAATCTCGTTAGTCAGTAGCTGGTTCTGCTGGCTAATTTCCCAGTGATCATTAATTCAAACTTAGGAAATATCCAAACTTTAGGTGGGGAACATCTGACCTGGCCATGTGCACATTACGTGTCATTCAGGCTGAAAATACTAATACTCTTACAAAGCACCGACACATCACAAATAAAAGACATAACTCATTTCGGTGAAGAACAAACTTTAAGAATGACTGTTAATCGAATCAGTCAAATAAACAATAGAAAAAGAAATAATAGAGCAAGATACTCAGATACAACAATATAATGAAAAAATCTTTTGGAGCGTTATTCAAGTATCTTACCCAAACCAAATGAATATATGACAATACCAAAAACCTGTTTCTGTTATCCGATATCTAATTATTCATCCAGATTTTAAACATTCTAGAGTTTTTAAAGTTTTTCCAAATGTACTATAAAGAGAATTAAAATAAACAAAACTAAATACAAATAAATTCGGTACGTGAATAAATCAACGTGCTGCTATCGTTTGCTTTGAGTTAAGCCAAGTGGTTAGCGTGCTAAGAGTTCGTGGTTCATGGCCCATTGGTATTGTATCGCGCTCCGAACTTTGAGTGTCGTGTCGTGTGTGCGTTATAAGATAGACTGTCAAAACCCACTATTCAATTAGAGTAGTCCACGAGTTGGTAGTGGGTACTGTTCACCAGCTGCCTCTCTCTAGTCTTTCAGTTCAAAATTAGGAACTGCTAACCCTGAAAGATCGTTTGTAGCTTTGCGCGAATATCCGATATAAACAGAAACGTTTGCCATTGTTCGTTTAGTATATAAGACAGTTTCTTACAATTTTGTAACAATTGTTAGTTCTAGATTTCTAAGTCTAAGATATATTGATTGCTGAAAGATTTCTAAATTTACTCATAAACTTTATTGGATCATTTAGCTACTTACACATACAATCAGTAACTTCAGTGTAGCATACATATATATTTATAATCAGTAACTTCAGTGTAGCATACATATATATTTATAATCAGTAACTTCAGTGTAGCATACATAAATATTTATAATCAGTAACTTCAGTGTAGCATACATATATATTTATAATCAGTAACTTCAGTGTAGCATACATAAATATTTAT